AATCTGCTCAGAATTCATCAGAATCAACTTCAACTTCTTGCAGTTACTGAGTTCAATATTTGGGTTGATTGTACAGTTTTGGATATAATATGAAATATCTATAAAATATGTCACTCAGTCAGGGGTCGTCAGTTGACTTAATTATAGAAAAGGGGTCCCTTAAGGAAAAAGGTTGAGAACCACTGGTCTATTTGATGGTTGACAGTCATGGTCCCTAAAAGATGAATCCTACGAACTTCTAGGATCCTACGGGGACTTTTCATATAGTACCATCATAACCTCCTGATGGCGCTATATGAAAAGAAATCCAGTTCTCTTGTTTATAACTCAATAGCGAAAACTAAGAAAGCTTCAGTCTCAGCTTTACTTTGCTAACTAGCTAATGTTACTAAAATGGTGAACAAAGTCAAAATTACACCTGCTATACATCAACATGTGAACATTGTCATTGTGAGCATGATGCTAGCCTTTAGCTCAAAGCCGCACTGTGCCTAAGTACAGCCTCAGTGCAGTTTTCATATTTTACAGACAGAAGTGATTAGTTAAGTCTTGTTCACACAGGACGTGTTTCAGCCACTTTTTTTTTTTTTTTTTCATTTTAATCAATCCAGCTGTTTACACAGGCTCATGTTTCACTAACGTCCATACATCCAAAACCTCAACCTGAAGCTTATTTTTACGCTTTAAATCTGTTTTCTTTTTGCAGCCCATGGAGCTGCCCCCTGCTGGCAATTAAACAGAATGCAGCTTCAAAACTTTTTAAAACACGTCACTGATCCAGAAGCTCAGTCCAATATAAATATAATGTCAATGATGCAGTGGAGCGCACCAGCAGAGCAGCTACGAACTATAAACTCCTACAAAAACCTGCATGAGTCTCACAAGGGAAAAAGCCACCTACCACCCAGCTGTAACAGAGGCAGCACCTTGCTGCTTCTTGGTTGAAATGTCTTGTGTGAACACTGCAGTGAGCACATTCAATAAGCTGTCTATATAAGTCTACTGCTCTGTTTAGCAAGTGCGGTTTCTATAGGTGCCCTGCTGTACTTGTGTTGTATGGGCCCACTGCTACAGACCTGCAGACCCAGGTCTGTGTGAGCAACAATGACAAGACATTTCCTGGAGCATCAGTCTGATATGGATTAATGATTGTTCATTATCCCATATCAAAGAAAGGCTTTCTGTTTGAAAGTGGTGTAATTCAGCCATGGGTTTGATTTCAGGCTTAAGTTCTTAAACCTTATTGAGTCTGAAGTTAATGGTGGGTCCAGTGTTAAACAGCACTGAGTGTTAATCATGAGTATGGTCCAGTTTGTTGGATATTGCTGCTCTTTTGCAACTATACAGTTGCCCTTTTTCCACCCAGTACTGCAGGAATCTCAAATTTCAGTAAACTGATTCTGTATCCCTGTCTGAGTCTGGGTTTTTATTCAATACTCAGTATACAGTAAATGGAGGACTCCTATCTGAGGTCTTTAAAGAGTTTGCTCCTTAATCGTCCGTGTTTTGTAATGTACACTTAGTGTAATTGTTCTATGTCTCAACTGGTACATAGGAAATGGGAAATCTTGCAACATGATGATTTAATAGTGTGGTTCATGATAACAGAGAAGTGGCCTTCATGTGCCAAACAAGTACTGTTAAAGGCATGAAACCTTACCTCTGTTCAACCTGAAAAACCAGTTCCCACGTGATCAGTGTGCTGCTAATACTCAACAAGACAGAACTACTTCAGCCTTTATTTAGGTTGGTAATCAGATGAGATTTATGCCTATATTCTTCTAGTGCAGGTTTCTTGTGATTACTGTAAAGTGTGGGTTTCTATTTGCAATTTGGACTTCAAGGTAGAATCTAGCCATCAATACATTTTGTGTTAGAATTACTGTTGTGATCAGTGAAATAAAGGTCCAGTGTGTAACATTTAGGAGGATCTTTTGTCAGAAATGGAATATTATATTCATAGGTATGTTTTCATTAGTGTATAATCACCTGAACATAGGAATCATTGTGTTTTTGTTCCCTTAGAATGAGCTGTTTATATTTACAGAGGGAGCGGGTCCGGTTCAATGGAGTCAGCCATGTTGAACCTTCATGTTTCTACAGTAGCCCAGAACAGACGAACCAAACACTGGCTCTAGATATGGTCTTTCACATTTTTGTGAGTTTCACAACTAGTTTATCTTTATCTTCCATGCTCAAAAGGCAAGTGGTTAATCAGTTGGTTGCAATCTGCAACTTTAATCCTTAGATGCAAGTAAATCCTACACACTGGTCCTTTTAACATTTTCCCAGAATAATGATGGTGGAGAAGTACATACTCAGGATTAAGATCTTTAGAGGCCTCAAACTGATACTTGAACCTGGCCCTTAGCCGCATATTTTAAGACCCCACCTAGCTGAACCTGATTGGTACTGCCAAATTTGAGATCCAAACTTGACCCAAGGCCCGGTATATTTTTGTTTTGTCTCATCAGTTACTGATCATCAACATGCCAATGTAATGCAAAGCATTTGCTACACTGTTAAATTCTTTCCACTGGGCATTGTGTATCTGCTTGCAACATTTAACACACATTGATGCCGACAATTGGCTCAAAGAGAGAAAGATAAATCTTTTAATAAATTACATAGAAAAACTACCAAATCTGATCCCAGCCTGAGCCAAGTTTGTACAACAAAATATTGTGTACGGTTACCGACAGACTCTGTGTTAAATGATCAGAAACGGGGGCAAACATAAGCTTGATTGGGACTTGTGAATAATGTATTTTTCAGCTAGTCACCAATAGTGATTTTCTCATTGTGTGTGTGTGTGTGTGTGTGTGTTATAGGTACGTCTCCTGTGTGTGGCAGTTCAGCATGATGATCTGCAGAGTGTATGTTACCTCCTCAAAGAAGCCCGTATCACTGTGCCCCAGGAGCCGTCCAACAGCAACCCAGCCATCCTGGCAGCATACTACGGACGCACCGGCGTGGTCAAACAGCTGCTGGATTCTATACCTGGTAAAATGAAACGGCTCCACATCTGCCATATATAGACCAGGGCTTATGGATAGTACTACTCAGCCTGAAAACAGTAGACCATTCCTAAGTCCCGCCCCATTTGGAACCTTGGTCAACCTCCTGTACTCAGATATGCTACAGTAGGCTATGTGCTAGCCATGTCTATGCTGAAAGGACGCCGACATTTTTAAGATGGTTAAGAGACTGTTTTTCATTTCAAATGTAAATTTTACATTATGTATTATTACATGTGTTTTTCTTTTTTTCTTTTTTTTCTTTCTTTTGTTTGTCCTCTGATACTCAAAACCCAAATAAAAACAGTGAACATTAGCTCTTATGATGTAACTAGCTAGCTAACAATTAGTATAGATTAGCTGGCGAGTTGTTTTGCTCTAAAGAAAAACACTAACTGTTATTGGAGCATAGAGCAAAAAGGGGCGGGACTTGGGAAGCTTATTATCTTACTTAACTAAGCCGCTAGCCAGCTAACAGTAGCTAACTAAAGATGTGACTATATATGTCACTTTTATCTTTTAACTGTCTTCAAAATATGGTTGTATTTTAAACATAGATTAGTTTAGCACATAGCATATCTAAATACAGGAAAGGAGGATTTGACCCAGGTTGTTCTGACTGAGGCTTACTCAACTGTTATTGGAGCACAGAGACAGAAAGGGGCGGGATTTAGGAAGAGTCAATTGTACAATGTCTGCTATGTCATGTCTGAGAAAATAATCCTGACAATGTCATCAGGGTCATCTTGATTTGGATTTGGAGACTATAAATCTATAACAAAAACCCTGCATTACAAACTGGAGGTGTGGGGATGGGCAAGAAATTGGTACTCACCAAACAAAGAGGGTGTAATAAAAAGATGATGAGGATTGGATAATGCGAATTGTAGGATTCAGTGTTTTTGGAGCTTAAACTAAACTAGGGACTCAAAGGCGGGATATCTGGGCCTGTGCTCCTTTGATTTTTGACAATTCCTTTTCTCTGTGTCTTGTGAGTCCCCCAACTTTATGAATACACAATAGTAAATTACAGGAGTACCCCTTTAACAGAGAACATTCTGTATTGCATAAATATTGTTTTATATAGGATAGAGTCAATATGAACACAAGGTTTGCTATAAAACTTTATAGATTGTCTAAAGCTTCCAAAATAATGGTTGTTCTTCCTCTAGAATAATAATTATTGTTAACAGTGTATCTTCATTGTTGTAACCAGATGCTCACAATTAAGATGATAGATGATACTTAACTTAGAAAGAACATACAGTAGAATACCTCTTAATCATGTTTGACCTCCTCATCAACACTGAAGAAAACCCTCAGTGAGAAAATAATCTGTCTGACAAACTCCAACTCCAACTCAAGGTTAGGTCCTAATGGAAAGTTTTAAATAGCCTCACCCAGTTTGAAACATTGCCAGATTGGTCACTGGACTAAAAGAGTCTCTGCAGTAGAGTCTGGTGGTTGTTATTGATCGAAGAACGTCTTCTGGCTCCCTCTCAGGTCCATGTCTGAGAAGAGACTTGCTGAACTGGATGCTGGCCACATCGTGCCAGCAGGGTCACCTGGACGTGGTCCGACTTCTGGTCCACAGCTATGAGGCCGACGCCAGGGACTGTGCCATCCACAGCGATGAGTTCGCTGTCATTACGGGCCTGCCACTGTACGCTGCTGCACGAGCAGGTAGGTGACACAGACATTAATACACTGCAGACGTTATATGTACTTGTTTATACAGCAGCTTATCTTTCCCGTGTGCCTGTACTATAACTCTAAACCCTTTAATAATCACCACACCCTCCTGTGTATTTTCAGCTTTTCATTCAGCAGATACATCCACCAAACTAAAAGGTGCACACAGTCTGTGTGCCCTACACACACTGCTTTGCACTTGTAGTTGCACTTGTCACCCACAACTAATTTCAGAACTGGGCAGCAGTTTCACCTGCTCCTTAGACAAAACTGTAAAGCACAGCATATTGATATTAATAGTGCAACGTGAAAAAAGTTCATATTAATGTGTTTTGTCTATTTCTATTCTGCTGCTGTGTGTACGTCCAAATGCTGAACAACTGAGAAATCATGTAGAAACATGTAAAGCCTTGTATTTACAGAAGTGCTGTAGCAGTAACTGGTGACTGATACTGAGTGAACACTGTTGGTCCTGTGAGCAGAGTGTGTTCTGTGTTGCAGGTAATGAAGAGATAGCTCGCTTCCTGCTGCAGAATGGAGCAGGGTTCTCCTCATACACCCTCATGGACCATCCAGCATTCAGCAAACACCTCCTCAGACTCCAACTGCAGGAAAGCTCCAACGCAGAGGGAGAGGAGGTCTGTGTTCTGGAAACGAAGGAGGGCAATGATGTTGTGTTTATGACACAATAAATGTGATGCTTTCAATGGAGAGCACTGTCGTTAATGAGAATTTATAATTAATTACTGGTTCTCCTTAATGTTCTAGCTTTTGACCCCAACAGTGAACTCTGACAGAAATTGCTCTGCAGGACTTTGACAAACATGGAGCAGTGTGTCACAGTTGTGCTCTGCTCAGCAACGTAAACAATGCAACATTTGAGACAATGTAGAGCACAGTATAAATGCATTACAAACGTCTGATCTAACAGATGCATATTTCAGCAATGTTTTTGTGAGATGCCTGCCCGTGTGGGGGGAAAAAAACAATATTCATAAGGAGATCAACATGAGGAGTTCTTTTTGTGTCGTTAACTTCACGCATCACAAAAGTGATCGGTGTTCTGTTGTGTTTAGAGTTTTGTGTGACTTGGTGACAGCTGACAGAGGTGCAGACTGGCTTTGGATCAGTTTTTAGGCGAGTTAAAAAACCGAGACACTCCTGCACAGATGACCAGAACAGGGTTACTGATAACCAGTGGTTACCTTTTTCCTTAAGGGACCTCTTTTCTATCAGTGAATTAAGTGACAACCCCTGACTAAGTAACATATCTTATGGATATTTCATATTATATTCAATCGATAACAATATGAGTAGAGAACAGCTGATAAACTGTGCAATGAACCCAAACAGTGAACACAGAACTGCAGGAAGGTTGTGTAAAACCAGAGATTTGGATGAATTTTGAAAACTAAAAAAAACTAAGCTAAAAACTGAAACTCTTAAAACATTTTAACTGAAATGACAATATGAAATGAAAGAGGAAAACTAAGAAACAATATTGTACTTACAAAACTAACTAAAATAAAATAAATATATACTGGAAATGTCTTTAGTGTTAGTCTCATAAGTCAAAACACAAAGCATGATGAGGCACTGGTGTATTGTATTGTACCACCTATTCTGAACTTCTAGTTTTAGAAATGTGAAGACATAAACACACAAACTTAACTCAAAACAGTAATTTCACAAGCTTCCACAAAGTCCTTATACCTCAGTACTCAAACTGTCCATGTATTGTGTAAACTATAATGACATTGTGGTGATGAGTTTTTTTTTAAATGCTTTCAATTTGGAAACTCGTTGAATTGCTGAAAATGACCAAATATCCTGGAAATAATCAACGTTGTAATTGTATTTTAGCCCCTCACTCAGTTTACGTAAACCTTTTACCAGTTTCCATGTCAGTTCAGAGATGTTCACACAACTTGCAGCAAACTTTTGGCATCAAGTTGTGTGTGTGTGTGTGTGTTCGTGTGTGCAGGCTGTCAGGGTGTGTTGGAGTGGTCTGCAGCTGCCCTGGTTGGAGCTGGACTGGTTCATGGATGTCTCATCGCGTATCACCCACCTGGATCTGTCGTCCAACTGCCTGGCTGCTCTGCCCTCTGTGGTGCCCTGGGGTCTCATCCACCTGCACACTCTGGATCTCTCTGATAACCTGCTGGAGGAGCTGCCAGCTGCTTCCAACTCCCAGGAGGTCATCTGCTCCAGGTATGCATGGCAGCAGCTCGTCTGGCCTAGGTGCAGCCCAGAGACCGGGGTAGCAGCAGTGTCCCAGACAGTGTCCTCCATCTTAGACATGATGGATGTCCTCCACTTAATTACACTTGTTGGATAATTGCAAATATGTAAATAGCACTGGTTGCCTGCTGCAAGCTCTTAATCTGCACTGATTCCATTCCAACATTGTCATCTCACACATGTATGCATGGATGTCTTATTTATATTGTTATTGCTGTTATCCTTGGTTGAAATCCAGAGTTTGAATTTCAAAGTTAAGCTGTCTCTGCTCCTGACAGCACAATATCTGCTTTTCTATTTCTAAATGTGTAAAACCCAGATAATACAGAGTAAATAAATAACTTTCTGCCTGCTTCCAGTATTTTTGCTAATCTAGGCTGACCATGTGCTCAAGTTAATTCTGTTACTGATTGGCACAGCGCTACACCGGGTCTATTGTGCGCTAGAGCCACGTGATCAATCTGTAGAGCCCCAGTTGAGCCCCCTCAAGAATTGTTGTTGTTTTACATATTTCTTTATTTAAAAAAAATAAGTTAAAAACTGGCCATTATGTTCCCAGTCCAGTCTGATAGATGCACTTCTTGTTGTTGCCCGCGATTTGTTTAAGCTCTCCTTTAATCCTGGTACCGGCCATGGTCACTGGATACACAGAGATAAAACTACTATTGATCTTCTCTCATTTAAAATGGCAAACAAGCTTATTTCTCTAAATGTCGGTGTGTAATGCCTTATTGAAGGCTTTCACCTTTACCGTGTAGGGCAGACACTGATTACTTGACTCAGTGCTTATTACATGACATTTGTATCTGCTTGTCTCTGCTGTGCTTCAGGTTACGGCAGGTGAATCTCTCTCAGAACCAGCTCACCAGTTTGCCATCCGGACTTCTCCACCTGACCCGCATCCAGAGACTCTCTGCCGCCAAGAACCAGCTCACAGTCCTGTTTGACATCCCTACCAGTATGTTACCACGATATTTCATAAAGATTTAGAGAATATATTAACTTAATTGTAGTGAGTGGCATGTTGAGGTAGGTTTGAAAGGGCTGCGTCAGTGAAGAGCCAACCAAAGAGGACAGCTGTGCTATCATGAAACACAGCTCGAGTGACAGATTAGCATTTTAAATCAGCTAGCACATGTAAACCTGCATGGCTGAATCCATGTTGTGTCATTCACTCAATATTTCTTAAGGCTCATTTTTTTTGTATATTGTGATACAATTCACAATTAGTGGGAATGATTTTGCATCACAATTTTCACTGAAAAAAACCCTTTTAAAATCATGATGATGTGACACTTGTTGAGGTTGGCATCCCTGCAGCACTACAGTACTTCATTATGACTCTGTTTGAAACATTTGCGCAGCCCTATTTTTTTTTTAAGCCATTTTAACCAATAAAAAGAACCTGTTTCAGTTTAGTTCAGCTGAATTTTATGACAGTTCAGCTGATCTTTAATCATCAGTTGTCAACAAATGTTGGAGTTTAAATGTCAGAAAGAGCGAAAAATGTCCGTCACAGAGTCCAAGCTAATGTCTTGTTTTGTCCCACCACCATTCTAAAAAGCGGAAAAGTGTGATTTCACCAGTGTTGGCCAGCATTAGTTACCCATAAAGTGCAGAATTGATTTCAAAATTCTATTAATCACCTATAAAGCACCATACAGGCTGGCACCACTTTATATTTGTGAATTGTGTCCATCAGATCTAGACTTTGCTTGTGTCCTTGCAGCTACTAACTGGATCGGTCTGCGTAAGCTGGAGGAGCTAGACGTGTCTGACAACTGTCTGAGCAGTCTTCCCTCAGCGGTCATGCACTGTTTGAAATCCCTGAGCTTCCTCAACGTGTGCAGGAACAAACTGAGCAGCTTCCCTGACCCCTGGGCCTGTCCGTTGGTAAGAACACAGACAGACAGCAATCCACTTCCTGTTTTTTAGATCTGCTGATTTCTTTCAATCCAAATCTAATGTTCCAGTCTTTGTTGTCTATGCTTGATATTCTGGGTGTTCATTTGATGGCATCCTTTAATATAATTGTTTGACAGAATTCTATTGCCATCTATTGGTGCGCTATCACCACAGTTGGTTAATTATCGATGTTTTGATTGTTACACTAAGTCATTAGTCCTTGTGTCAAAGCTGTTTGAGAGGCTTTTCTGTGATGCCAAAGGAGGACAATGAATGTTCACACAAAGGGCTTTGAATGCTTCACAAATTGTCTTTTATTATTGTTAGTCAATTGTTAGTTGTTATAGTTAGAAATCTGGGAAGTCTTGTGTAATTTCCATCGGTGCAGTCAACCATGGAAAAAGACTGACGCACTCCGTCTATGGATGTATTAATGTAATAAATCTATTCTTCGAGCATGGGCAATAAAACAGATCCATTCTGATAAACAATCAGTCAGCCTAGATTATATACAAGCTGTGAGTGTCTTGTGCCCAGCTCAGAAGGTCTATACACAACATGACCCACTGAGGACGCAAAATAACACAACACAGTCTGAATTAAAATAACACATGCAATGCACACAATAACACAAATGCTGAGACATTATTCACTCTCCTCCCCTGCAGAAGCAATGCAGAGCTTCCTCCAATGTGATCGAGAGTCTTCCGAACACCATCTCCATCTTCTGGAGGACTCAGCTGCAGGAGGTGGACTTCTCTGACAACAGCCTGAACGAGCTACCCTCATATATTTTTGAACTGGAGGTAGGAACTGACCAAACCCGAGTGCAACAGAACAAACACACACACAGTAGTCGCACTCCTGTGTGTGATCTGTTCAGTAGCCTCCAGGTGGCACTGCCGCTGCACCATTGGCTCCACGCTCGGGATCATTGACTTACAGTCTTGTTCGTGTAGCAGCACCAGGAGATAGTTTACACGTTAGATGCAGAAATATTTGGCTCACTGTGCCAACACTAATGATGGAAGGGGAGTACGCTTTGGGATTGGATTGTGGAGCCCTTTGGTAGAACTGCAAACCAAATATGGATTTTGTACACATTCAGTACCAACACAAGAAAGATCTAATTTAAAAGGAATAAACAGAAGGGCAAAAACTAGTTCTGAAGTGGCACAGATGAGTGATTTCAAAGAATTTGTCTTTTTTTTCTGTGATAGTGGGAAGACATTAGTTTGATCTAAGAATTACACTTCCATAATCTGAATTATGTGAGCGATGATGGAGTCAGCCAGCTGTGTTTGTATTCCTTGAAAGGAAAATGTGCAACGTGTGGTTTACTGTATGTCATCCCTCCTCCCACTTGTCCTCCCGTCAGGCCCTGCTCTCGTTGAGATTATGTGGGAATCACATTGCGACGCTCCCAGCCCCCAATAAGTGGAAGTGCTCTCAGCTCAGGACCCTCGATCTTTCCAGGAACCAGCTGGGCAAGTAGGTCCATGCGGATACACACTTCCTTGTGTGTGGGTGTGGGTGTGGCTGTGTGTATATACACACCATCTGCTGGAGTCAGCTGTTACTGGGTTCTCTACGGAGTTCAATAACTGCAATGTGTGAAGAAATATTTTAATGCACATTACAGTATGTCTATCTGTCAGTGAGTTTGAAGAAAGATGGTGATACAATTTGTTTTAGATCAGGGGTCTCAAACACTGTCTTGGGGCCACAGCTGGTATTGTCCTCTCATAGGATGGCCACTTATTACCACCATTACTACCATCATACTGTTTCTCATCATGCAGTTTCTATACATGTTTATATCGTTTTTTAAATCATCTTTGATGTTCGCAGCCAAACATTTGGATTTTCAGGAACCTTTGACCATTGCCATTATTGTGCAACAAATAAAACACAATTTTAAAAGAGAATTATGTTTTTATTTTAATTGTTTACGAAGGGGTAGTTTAAGATGAAACAACAAAAAAAAGAGAGGGATTATATTATATATTTGACACCATGTCGCAGGCTGGAGCCATGTTTCTACAGTACTGACAAACCAAACACTGGCTGTACATAGGGCCTTCTGCGGTTTTTGTGAGTTTCGCAGCCACCGTAGTTTCTCCTTTTAGGCTGAGCGGTATTCCTTGTATGTGAAAACCTACTCAGCAATAAACCCGATTCTGATTCTAAAAAATGAGATCAGTACACATTGAACAAACAGCTGGAGCCTTCTGACTTATGCTTCACAAACCAAGTCCAAATACTGGATGTCCTGAACAGAATTGTTAAGCTGATCATCCTGAAATATCAATAAAACAGCGGTTTAACTGGACACTCTGAATACTGAAACTGCCGTGATTCAGTCAGCTTACACTCCCAGTTGTAAAGTGATGTGAGTGGAGCTTCTTTGGCTGAATGCACCAGCTGCAGGGAGCACACTGACTACTAGACAATATCCAAAAAGCTTCAGTTTGGTCTTTAGGCAAGTTGCAGCATTAACAGTTTAACCAGCGAAAGAAACGCTCAGTAGCAGGTAATAGTAAGAAGCTACTACCTGAAGGTTTTGCACATTGCTCCTTGCTTAGAAGAGATACAGAATTGAATAAGAGATTTGTTAGAGTCAGAGATAAGACAATTTAGCTTTTTATGAACCAAATCTAAAAGTCAGCTATGCGGGCTGTTCCATCCCTTTCTAACGCTGTTCTGTACTTGAATTAAGTTGACTGCATTTCAAATTGTGTCTTTTAGAACAGAAGAGGGGCCCAAATCCAGGAGGCTGGCCTTCCTGACAACATGGAATAGGAGGGACCCAGACCCAGGTAGATCTGCTTTACAATCAGTTATTTGAACATAAATACAAACAGATAAACAAAAGGAATCCCAGTGTTCCTCCTTGCTACTGACAGTGTGGAGATGATGTCGAGACTCTAGGGTCCAACTAATATATTGTCTCTGCCAGTATTCAGTCCCTCAGCTAGTAAGATCCTGTGACTGCAATACTCAGCATACATTCAGACATTTCCCATCGTCCCCAAAGTGTTTACAGCAACATGTTATTTAGGTGAACTCCCTACAATGGTTTTATTCTTTGTTTGATGCACTCACTGTTGCTGTAGACCTTTGATATACTGACATGCAATATTTGTCTATTTCCATTGTTGTTTCATGTATAGTGAGTCCAAGGCTTGTGTAGCAGAACAATGGGCCTGATGCAAGAACATTTTCGTGTTCTTAACTTTTGCTTACTTTTGTTTTTGTAATCTGGACCACTCCTAAAGAGAAAATTTATAATGAGGGAAAATTGGTGAATGCTACAATTTCTTCTAAATCAGTCGTACAATCACTGATTGTACACAGTTTGTACGAATGGCTCTTGCATGATGCCAAATGTTTCTTTTTTCTTTTCCTATCTCATTAATCATCTTCTTCTTGAAGGTGTTCCCATTCGCCAGGTTGTGAACCACTGCTCACTCTCAGCCTCAGAGTGGCTCATTGTAACTATCTATGACCCCTTACCTCAAACTAACTTTTGATATGTGGAGCTTTTTGGGACTCATTAATGTCCTGTAAATCCAGGTGATATAATAGACATGATGCAGTTAGATTAGATACATAATGATTGTGTAGCAGTGTATTTTATTTATACTGGTATCACATAATGTTTTACATAGTGCTTCAGAGACTGCCCCCTGCCAAGATCCAGTTCTGTGGAACACGATGCTGACTTGTTTTTCTTCTTTGGAAGTGTTTGGCACAAGTCCATAATAATACATTTCTGGTTCTGTTCTGATACACTGGGTTAAGTGATTTGCTGCCTGTGTTTAAGCATACTGTATCTGCTGTGACCCTTTGCATGGCATGGTCTTTGCAGTGTGTCCTATAGAGTTTCCCATGATTCTGCGGGATTCACTGGAAGTGCTTTACTTGAACGACAACCAGCTGGAGTGTGTTCCCCAGTCAGTGTGTGGTCTGCACAGTCTCACCGAGCTCTACCTCTCCAAGTAAGTCCCAGCCCCCACATGCGGCGGGCACTCTTATCTCTGTCAGTGTTCAATGTAAAAATTTAAAACAAAACAGTTTCTGGGTGCAAGAACATTTCTCCATACACCAGAATTCCCATTAGACACTGGGGGCCACATTCCCCAGCATTCTGCAGGTACTCACAGAGCTGTTAACTTAAACGTATAATATGTAATATTTCTGTGTTAAAATGTCTTAAAACACTAGTTATATACTTTGTTGTGTACTTACATTATCACAAAAAATGTCCAAACCCATAGAAATAAATATATTAATCTAACGTTGCGTTTCTTACTTACCTGTAGTGGCTATAATTTCCAGGTCACACGGCAGAGAGTGAGGAAGGCGGCCAACGTGACTTAAAGTAAACTTTACTATTACCTCGTCCGTGAACAGCGATGGTGGTTGTTTAACAATTATGACAACAACTCCTGTCATCCAACGCTATTTCACAACGTCGTCAAACTATGTGTTTTGTTTTGAAATGAAAGACTCCTAGTTACAGAAATGACATATTGTACACTTTAGTAATGTGAGATGTGAATCTCTGTCACTGAAGCCGATGCAATATGCAACTCAATGTATTACCAACGACCTGATACATTAAAGATACATATGAAGGAGCAACCAATGTGATACAATACCCCCCACTGCGATGTAATTAGGGGTGTAAGAAAATATCGAAAGATATCACAATATTTAATTTGCAATATTGTATCAATTCTCAAAAACACTGTATTGATATTTGTAGTTAATACCCCGAATTGCAATATAACAGTGTAAACTGAGGTCTGTGATGTTGAATGTTTCTGTGAATGCAGATTCCACTGCTCTGGTTGCATAAACAAAAAAACTTTTTTTATTATTAAATCACCATATATTGCCTAGCTTACAGTATTGCAATATATGATACGCATCAAAATATTGAAAGAACAAGATGCTATGCAATTCAGTTTGGTACAGATAGTTGGATTTTATTTCTTTGGTTCTTCTTCAGCAGCTTGAGAGACAGTTTAGAGAGGAGGAATCAGTCTAAATATGCAATTACTGGGCACATTTCTAAAATAATATATTTTAAAAAATGTTTTTTGCTGATGCAAAGATGTTAGAAACAAGCTCATTTGTATTCGATACATGCTTTTTTAAATCAGGGCAATCACATCTTGAACCTTTATGCCACCGACGCAAACTGGTGAATCATCCCTACCATATACAATATTACATTTGGATGGATAAAACTGAATAAACACATGAACACATGAATTTCAGTTCAAAACAATAACCATGTCATCAGTTAAAAATCATAAAATCAGTTGTGAAGGTCAGAAGCTGATCACATTACACATTGCACTGGCTAAATCATTGTTGGGATCTTCCTGGGTTTGTTTTGTGACACCAAAGAACACTCACAAACATTACGTTACCATAAAAACTCAAATGTTAAAAGTCTGTTTGACTTTTGAAAAGAACAAACAGTGAGGTACAAAATCACAAATCTTCTTGGGTTGGCCACCCAAATCCCTTCAGTCCCTGGGAACCACTGCTCGGTATGAGTCAGTCCTCCTGCTACAGCTGTCTGCAGCTGTTTTATACAAGCAGCAAACTGCTGTGCTGTCACACACCACCCAGAATTATTGAATTGTTTAGGAAGTCATGGATCCACAGTATCCTGTAGCTGCCAAAAATGACATTCGCAACACATCTATCTGACTGCTTCTTAAAAAAGGGGTTTAGGGACCCTGGTGGACTCGATTAAAGTCCAATAGTTCCATTTAATGAAATTGGGAATCATTTAAAGGTGCAACTATAGTTTTCGTTTCGAAGGGGAGGGTGAAGTAAGAGTTATTGTCTGCAACAACAATGCTACATGCCACTAAATCCTGGACATACTAGACCTTTAATGAGGAATTAAAGGACTTTCTTTCTTTAACGTGAATCATTGACTCATGTTGTCTTACCTGAACAGTAATCTTGGAATCCGAGAGCTTCCAGCAGAGCTCGGTCAACTCTCCAACCTGTGGCAGCTGGACATTGAAGACCTCAACATTACTAATGTCCCCCAGGACGTGAGAAAAGAAGGTACTGTCTGAATGTCTTTAGAGCCCCCCTTAACTGACTAACCCTAACCCTAACCCAACTTTCAAAAGGAAGCTGAAAGATGTCTCCTACTTCACTG